GGCTGCTGTGGCTCAGTGGTTGAGCATCAAACTATGAACCAGGAGGTCATGGTTTGATTCCTGTTCAGGGAACATGCTTGGGTTGCAGGCTCAATCCCCAGAGGCGGGGGGTGTACAGGAGGCATCTGATCAATGATTTTCTCTCATCATTGTTGTTTCTATCTCTTTCTTCCTCTCCCTTCCTCTAAGAAATCAATAAAAATATCTTGTTTTTAAAGTGACATAGCTCAAAGTTAATTAGGCTTATAAGAAAACTGAGGTATCATAATTGTTTTCTCATTTACTACTCAGTTATTCAAATCTGAAAACTTCTAGTATTTCTTATAGAAAATGGGAATGTCTACTCTAAACGGTTGGTGTGAATCCAATGAGAAAAGATAAACATGTTGAGAGTTACTTAGAAAGTGTAGAGCATTATATAACTTCAACTTGTCATTAATTTAAGGTCTTTAAGTTATACATGATGTCTGAATTTTGTAAGAAAGCAAGGATAAAGGTAATATTAATGCCTGCTTTTTACTGAGTTGATCTTTAATATGTTTAAGCCTGTCAAATTGATGGAAACCAGCTGTGTGGACGGGAACAGTCAGGTGGCATTGGTTGGCGTGCAGCCAGAAGAGTCTGTACTTCTATTTCAGGTTAATCTCATTTTTCTTCTCTTTATCACTCCTTGTTCTAGGACTGCTTATTCGTGTTTTTCCTCTCCCATTGTCCCCAGTAATTGTGTAAAATTATCAGCAGGATAATTAACTCTAGCAATTTTGGGCTATGCATGCCCTTAATAATATTTTAATTTTGTTCCTTCAGAAATAAAATTTCCTTCAGATAATTTGTGAGGATTCTTCAAAAAGCAAAAATACTGTGAAGAGAAACATCATTTTAAAAAGTAGTGTAGTTTACATGTTTATATAAAAAAATACAAGCACACAGAGATATGTCTATTGTATGCATACACTGGGGATGTTTGTCCAAAATATTCTTTGTCAATAACAGGAAGGAACTGAAGTGTACTTTCCTGAGCATTAAGTGATAAGATTGTACACTTCAGTTGTTGCTTCCACACCTGCAGAGAAACAGATGCAATGACCAAATTGATTTTTTACAATTCTATTGCCAAATACCACACCGCATTTGTGTGGTGTTTCAATGACCTCTAGTCCCTACTCTGTCTTTCTCTACCCACTCTATTTCAAATGCTTCGTTACATTTTATAAAAGATGTAGTAAGATTTGTAGAGAAAAGAGGGCCATAAAAAGTGAATGTTGCCTTAGCTACATATGTTCTAAGTCCCTCTGACCCATAAGAACTTGCAAATTTTCCTCTTGATTTTTATTTTCCATTTACATTTGCAGGTTGTTATAGAAAAAGCTTCATAAAGAAACTATACAGAAATAAAATGGAATTGTAATTAAATATCTACTTTATAGGTTAATTATTTCTGGTGTTCAGTGCACACACAATAGATAGGGAAATTGTTAAAAATGCAATTCTGGTATAACCACCAGAACATCTAATTTGGTGGGGTGTCAATGTGCCCATTTTATTACTCCGCTAGTTGGTGTCAGAGGCAGAATTAGAAGTCAGTTATGACTCCCTGTCTCCTGTGCTACAATGTTCCCATTAAAGCTGCGCAATTTAAACAGCGAAATTTTACTTATTGAATATTTGATACACGTTTTTATGATGACCTAGGGCTTTCTCAGTTAGAAAACGGGCATTCCACCAGCCAAGGCTGCATGGCATCTCAAGAGTGAATCGGCATCCAGAAGAGTGTTTTCCAAAATAGTAACCGCTACCCACATGTTGCTACTGAGTGCTTGAAATGTGGCTGGTGTGATCAAGAAACTAAATGTGTAACTTTATTGCATTTTAATTAACTTAAATATCTACACATGGCTGCTGGCTACAGAATTATTCTGCACAGATACAGAGCATGCCATCATCAGCAAGCGCTCCGCTGGGTGTGCTGACTACATTGTATTCCCTGTCTTAGTCTAGGTGTGCCTTTAAGTGTTTGAAAGGAACTGCTGCTCTGTAACTAAAAGGCGGCTGCCAAGAACAATGGCAGAGGCCGCTTGGGTTATATGTAAAGTGACCTGGTGCCCAGATGCCTTTGTTCTTAGGGGCATTTTGGTTAAAACTAACACAGAGACCACACCTGGATTCAAATCCTGTTATTACCAGGCATTAGCTGAATGTCCAGACAAATTTGATCCTTAATTTCTTCATTTGTAAATGGCAAAAGCTACTGATCATGTTAAATGTGCTCAAGGTAGCAAAAGCCCGAAATCTCTGACCTCCTCCATATTTTGCCTGGGAGAAATACTGCAATATTTAGCCAACTCTCCCCGAACACCTATCTCCATCCCTCGTAAAGAGATCCCACAGTAGATAGGGAAATTGTTAAAAATGCAATTGTGGTACAACAAGCAGAACATCTAATTTGGTGTGGTGTCAATGTGAGGGGTCATATTTAACTTCTGTGAAAGAGATTCATAGGGAAGGGACTCAGCTTAATACTTATTTACCTGATCATCAACAGCCCATTCACAGCATACTTTTCTTTGGCCATTAATTCCAAGTAAACAAGCAAGGCTTTTCCAGTTCTAATTGGGCCAGTGTCTGCCATCTTGAGTTTTTTGTTCAACCCTCCCAGCTAGGATCCTCAGAGCCTGCGTCTCCAGGTAGCATGAAACGCTATTCAGAATGCCTCTTAGATCTCATACTGGCAGCAGCGATGTTAATGAGAAGCACTTGTTCTGTTCTTCTGGGCAGCATCTCTCCTTCCTTCCTCCCTCCCTGTGTCCCTCCCTTCCTTTCTTCTCAGTAACCTATGTCAGCACAGAAATCTAAGCTTAGGGATACAGAACTCTTATGAGAATTGATTTGCTTAACCCAAAGCTTCTCAACCTCAGCTGCATTTATAATCATTTGAGACACAATTAAAGCACTAGGATACTGCATACAATTTATCTTGAAAGCTCCCAAGAACAACTGGCAACATCAGCGGAGACAGAAATAAGAACAGAGCCACAAATGAAGTATTTAACAGGAGCAGACACCTGTAGGAGGAGTTAGTGCAATCAGCGACACAGACAACCCACTATTTTTTCTACTGTTCTGAGCAGTTGTCACTTGCACAGCACATATGGGACATTCTAATCACACTGATCCATGCTTAGCTTCTCCACTTCTGCTCTGGTACATCATAGCAAGTTTATTTGCTCAAGATAAGCCTTAGGATTGAGGCTCGGCAGTTAAATGCAGAGAACAAGACAGTGTGGGGTAAACTCTGACATGGAATCTTTAAGAAATGTTTTCATTTTCAAACTCTTGCGTTGATGTACGTCATTGTCCAAGTCCCCTTCCACTAAGACATCGCATAGGAATTGAACCAAGTAATTGTGAGAGTGTAGACATGCTAGGTGGCCATTCGTGAAAGGGTTTCTTTATTCAAAACTTTCTGCTATTGTGTTGCAACTGACAATTGGAACCATAATAGAGTTAGAAGAAGTCAATATTGAAGACAGAAACCTGCTATTTTACAAACACATAAACACAGGCACAAACACACACACACACACACACACACACACACACACACACACACACACTAGCTTTGTTCAACCTAAGTCTAAGCTATCTAGCAATTAGAATAGGAGAAATGAAATAAACAAGTACATACTTCAGCAATTCATCCAGTCAGGCGTATCATTATATTTTTATAGCAGTAAGATGCAGGAATTTATTACTAAATATCGCAAATATAACATAATGGCTTTTCTCACCATAATTATCCCTCAGAAAAGACAGCTGCCTAATTTCCAAGCCTTTGCAAATCTTGCTTTACAAGTTGTTCTCTATTTTCTACAGGAAAGATGCATTAGCTTGAAATACCCTGAATCAATTCTAGTGTTAGCCGTTCTATTCAGGATAACGTATAGAATCACGAAAGAGGAGGCAAAGACAGTTTGTATAGATTTTGTTTTTGTGCCTGAGGATTTGACCTCACAGATTCAGATGTCAGTGTAAAAATGTCTCTCAAAGATCTCCTTAAAAACACTGTACAATAAGTTTCTACATGATGGAGATAATTATTATACTCCTGCTGGATGAATAAACAACAAAGAATGTTGTAATGATATAAAAATTTATACTAGTTGTTGTTTGGGACAAATTTGTCATTGATAGTATCTACACTTTCAAAAAAGTGCTTCTAAGTAAAATTATTTCATTAAATTCAAGGGTGGAAAAAATAAGTTTTCTAAACTAATATGTTTTATATTAGTTTAAATATGGGCATATAATCAAATTGATAAATTCAATAGTGCAACTATATATTTAATTGATCCATGAACATCCCTAAAAGTCTGTATTCTTAAAAACATTTTTTACATGATTGGGCAAATGAGAGTTTTCCTTAAAATTGATATAGTCTTATATATTGGTATATATATATATTAGATATTTGTTTATAATACTTGTATTCATTTAATACTAAAAGCAAAAACAGATTGTTAAATCTCTGTGTGACTTCTTATTTATTCACTTAATTTTTTTTAACTAATGAACTTCACTCTTAGGAAAGCAACAACGATCACTTGATTTGAAAAAACTGCAACAAACACCTCCAAAAAAAGTGAAGGTAATAAAAATAGCATATCACAATGCCAGAAGTGAGGAAAAAATAATCAATCTATACGCAATGCAGCTACAAAAACAAAAGAATATGGTATCTGGATAGAAGGTGATTGTTAAGAGAGAGCATAAAGCTATTTTTGAAACAGAATTAGAACTGTTTATATTATTAAAAAGTTGGCATAGGTTACCTTTAGTGTTTATGACTTGCAAACTAAAGCATTTAATATTTAACATGTTTAAATACAAGCAGCAGCAGTTTGGTAATCAAAAGGAATAATTTGAATCATCTCAGAAATAAATTCATTATAATTAGGACATTTCAGAATATGATTAAAACATTGAAAAGAAAATGTATTCACCTTTCTTGTCATCAAAGTACAGAGTCTGTTGAGCTGGATTTGACCACTGGAGGGAGGTGTTATCATTTTGATCAACCCTGCAGGTCAAAATTGCAGTTCCTCCTTCAACAACTGTTACATTCTGTGTTAGTGGAAACTGCCCTTGGCTGCCTAAAAGGGAATTAAAGAAAATGTTGATTAAATGAAAGTTATAAAATGATTAATTTCCCAAGAGCTTCATTGTATTTAACTTCTCAATAAAAAAAAAATTAAACCAACCAAACAACAACAAAACTGTATATTGCAGAAGGACAGAAAAGTTATTGAAAATCCTTAATCAGATGACAGCAGCTTTGACATACAATTAAGACCCCTTTGTATTCCCTCACATGTTCCAGAAAACCTTCTTTTCCTCCTAGGCACGTATAAACATTTGTGTTTAAATAGTAATATGAGTATCACTAACTTCTCTTGGCCTTGCATCAATTATAGTAAATTGTGCTGAAACTGGTCATCTTTGAAGATAAGGCTTTGGAATAATTTTGTATGAATTGAACTTTCTTTAGATTTAATTTTTGATAAAACAATTATTTTAAAAATCTTATTTCACTAGGGTTTCTTGTATATAGAGCTGTTTTTAGAAACACAAAATGTGTATTTAGTAAGTAGTTTTCAAAATAGTGTTTATTTTGTAGAATATCCATCAAAGTCTTAAAGTGATTACTCTAACCTTGGAAATCAAGATAATATTCTTCTTTGTTCCTTTCTGTAGTTTTTATGATTTGAATACATATTTCTTTTATAATCAAGAAAAAATGTTTAAAATAACCCTTGTCAATTTTGATATTATGAGAAATTAAGTTTGCTGTCTTCCTAAGTGTAGTTATTTATTTTAAAAATGCATGTAATAACCTTACTTAAAAATAGCACTTCCAATATTTAAAACAAAATTCATGCTCATAGAAACATAATACATAAATGTTAGGTCAGCAAGAGGATCTGAAGATGTGCTCTGCCAGGTCTGGTAACAATTATCAACTTGGGTAAAAACTTATTTTCTTGAGCCAGCTTAAAACACTCTTGTATGAGCAAGGTAGTTCATTAAGTCAAGGATAATTTACAAATGTAAGAACATTATGATGACTTAATCACACCCATGAAATATATTTCCTTTTTTTCTTTAGTTTTGTAATGATTCTATCATTACTACAAGCACCACTTGAGGTTATGCTGGAGATATTGGCATAAAGAATCTATTACCAAGAAGTCGGTTGATTGGCACCATAAGATACAGAAGAGCCTGAAGGGAAAATTTTCTTTCCAGACCTAAATGACACAAGCACAGAGGTTCATGACCACTTTATATAATTAAGCTTATCAAGTATAAAAATTTGATATCAGCAGCTTTGTCTCCTCAATGCCAACCACTTAGAGTCACTATGGCAACTCCCCAGGACATGTCCCTCTAATCCTTAGGGTGGAGTTTTTACATTGAGGTTAGGAGATGTCTGGAACAAATTATTTGATAGTTGACTTGAAAGTCAACAGGAGCCAGAGTGGGATGTGTCTTTCTTCAGCTCAAAGGTGACCTCTAGCTGGGAAACATGGAGAGCTATCAATCTTGTGAAGTGAGATGAAGTGAAAAACCACATCAGAGAAAATATAAGTAAAAACAGAAAAAAAGAAATAATTACCACTGATACAGGATTAGCAGCTCATAAATATGAAGTTCAGAATGATTTTAAGATACTTTGCTTGGGTTCCCAGGTATTGACCTAATGCATAAATAAAGAAATCTGGGGGGTGAGGGGATTCTTTAAATAATAAAAAGCACACAACTGATAGTAAATACACATAGTTCATCCAAGATGACAATTTGACTATCAACTAGTACATAGGTATACTGTCTACTTCTTTCAAGAAGTGTGCGTGGGGGGTGCGGGGGGAAGCAGTGATGCTTGTAACCATTTCATCCACTGCATTTGCAAAATAATTTGAAAACATCCCCATAAGAAAATATTATCCTTCTCATTTCACAGATGGGTAAACTGACACTGGGAGGTGAAGTGATTTTTCCATGGTGAAACAAAGTCAATGAACCATTCGGAGTTTGTTCTGAAAGTTCAACATTTTATTCTTATTTTTTTCACAAAGCCTTCTTAGTCACAGTAACTTTGTCACTATTTGTTTAAAAATTAATTAGACAACATTTAAAAATAAAGAGTAAGCTCTTTAACAATAAAACTTTAAATTGCATACCTAGCTGAACTATGTCCTCATAAATTTCAGTTATAACATTAAAATCAAATAAGAAGAGAAGATGTCAGTATTAACTGCCCTTAAATATTCTATTCTATTCAGAACTCACTTTTGTTAATTATTTCAGTCTTTCCATACTGGCCCATAGAAGGAAGAAAGTAATATTCCATAGGGTCTTCTACATGCCAGGTACTGTATACCCCAGTGCACCTGTACTTTGTCCTCGGGAATAAGAGAATGGGATAGCTTTCTTCCATCTTCTTTCTGTGTGGATTCTGACTTTAAAGTATTACACCTTCAATTTCACTGGGACCTGCGGCCTAAAGTCCCTGTGGTCAAATAATTTAGTTTTTCCCAATAGAGAGCAAACTCATGTGGAGAATCTACTAATCCTAAACACCCTTAGGATATGTGATTTCCAAAATCAATTCAAAAGCCAGTGTTGTAGAGGCAGTCAAACAAACTTCTCAAAGATTGAAATTGCCTTTTACTTCTGGTTATAACCTGAAAAAAGCATCAAGTTAGCTGCTACTTTTTGCTTTTAACTCCTTGTGGCTCAAGTCTTTCCAAAAAAAATTACTAATTTTCCCAGTTAGCAAAATTAGTATATGTGACAAATTAAGGATTCATCCTCAATACTTTCATCAAACAAATATTTTGGGGGACCCACTACATGCCTTGTCTTGTATGAATCAGCATCTGAAAGTTGCATAGAGAAAGAAAATTTTTCTAAGGAAACTGTAAAATAATCATAAACTTTAGCAGAGAGTGTGATGGAAAGGGAGAAAGAAGACAGTCGAGGTGTGGTGCTGTTTACTATCTACAAGGATTTCTAAAATTCATTGGTCATATCATTGATGCATTATTTTAAAATGATATTTACTCTGCCTAAGCTCACCACCATCCTTGGTTTCAGAGGAGTCGTTCTAAAACAAGTTCACGATGATATTTAAAGGAAACACAACTTCCAATTTAGAATTGCAGAAGTTGGCTATTTTCCCAGGCAACCTATATCCATCATTTCCCTCTTTCCCTCTGTGTGTTTATGTCATTTTATTATTTGCATAAATATCAGTCTTCCTCACTTGTTTCTAAGCTAATTAAGGGTCAGGTAACAAGGCATCTTATGTATTTTTGAGTCAGCTACATTGCTTAACTTTCTTTGTTGTAAATCAGAATTCTCAGTTGGTACATATTGTCCATAACGAAAGAATATTCTAAGACCAGTGGCTGGCATTTGCAGAGAAACCTGTGATAGAATGACCAGAGTAATTCAATTCTGTTGCATTGGTTCATGATCAAAACCGAGGAGAGAAGGAGAGACTAATTCCTAGAACAGACATACCTAACACCATTGTCAGCTCCCAAAATGGAACATGAAAAGACAGACTGTGCTGAATCTATGCTCCAGAGGGGGGAAACTGAGAAGACAATGACTTTTCTTGAATATTAAGTATAATAAGGTCTACTAGTACATAAGCGCTCTTAAGAAAATAGATTTCTGTGACTAAAAGTTTTTTATCTTCCCTTCACGGTGCAATTTCCCTTTTATCAACATTCAATTCAATAGTACCTGTGGATGAAAAAAAAGGGGGGGGAGTTCTACAGAAAGTGGCCTCACAGGATAATCTGATCATAAATTCACTGGGTAGTCGTGCCTCAGGCCCATAACTTCTTTAGGAAAGGTCTTAAGTCAACCCTGTTCATTGTTCTTCTGCATCTAGGTTAACACACCTTTGAAATACAAAAGTAATACCAGGTATTAACTCAAGAAAACACATAATCCTGTTAACTATCCTGTAATCAGATCCCCATCTTGCTTTCTCACAGTCCTACATCATCTTCCTTAGTTCCCTCCTTAATCACAAATGCATAAAAGAAGCTGCATTTGATATATTGCTACCTGACACACATCCTCAGTTTGGCTCAAAAACTCTCATAAAAGTTATTACAGGTCTGGATATTTTTTATGCCGACATACCCTTCCTATGTCATGTCATCCCTCAACTGTCACTAAACCAGTGGTAAACACATGAAAAATACAGCTAACCTTAACTGAGCATCCACAATATGTTAAACACTATTCTAAGTACGTCTTCTTCAACAAGAATATAATTTTCATGCCAACAATATTGTCATCTCTACCCACAAAAGGACTGGGCAGATGCAAGAAAACCTTGAAAAACGTGCCCACAGCCACAGAGCTGGGAAGGGCGGAGACAGGTTTTGAACTCTTTCACTCTGTCTTCAGATCGCATGTGTTTAACCACTGAGCTCCTTTGAAAGTAAAGTGAAAATTTTGATTGAATAATTGTTATAAAAGAAGCAGCTAGTTTGAAATCAAACATTTCAAAGATGCAATTAGACCGTTTGCATCTATTTTTAGTAAGTAAAAGTAGCATCTTCAACTTAAGTAGGAGCAGCTGGGCTCACCTAGGCTGGGAGTGACAACCGTAGTCTACTCACTTCATGCTCAGTGAGATATGTTGGTCTCTTGAAATTGACCACAATGGGATTATTTTCATGGTGGAAACTGGCAAACAATCCAGGCCAACTTTTTTCTTTCTTTTTCCCCCACAGAGGCAGTTGCTAAACATTACATGTACAGCACACCACCGAGGAAGCCACCCTTGATGCCTCTTAGTGGAGCTTTGCGTGCATTGTTAGTATAAATAAGGTGTTTTGTTTTGTTTCAATTTGTTTATGAAAACCAATTAATCTTTCTAATACAGGTTAGTACTGGTTTTGACATTCTTTTTCTTCATATTTTGAGCCTCTTCTTTAATCAATTTTTTTTTTCTTTTCTTCAAATCACTTTCCAAAGTCCTCTTTCCCTTATTTCAGATAAGATGTCTTTTTTCTACATGGATAGTTGTTCTATGCTACTAGTTTTTTCTCAGGTTGTCACTAAC